TTTGGAGAAACCTGGTTATGAGTGTTTTAGACGTTGGACAAAGAATTATGGGGATGTTTATACGTTTTGGGCGGGTAAGTGGTCGCGTGGCGCAACTGGTAACATGTTAGACTCGGCTAGTTTTTGAATATTGTTCTAGACTACCCCTAGAGCCAAGCTTCAAAAAATACGCCACCAAAAAAAAAGTTTCCAGGTGTCACCCCATATGTTATGATCAGCTCGTATGACAGAATCAAAGAGACCTTCATCCGCGACGGAGACACCTACAAAGACAAGTACCCCCAAAAATTCAACGAACGATTCCGAGGTGGATCCTATGGAATTGTGGAGACAAATGGACACTTTTGGAGCACACATCGTAGATTTGCCCTCAGCAGCTTCAGGGATTTTGGACTTGGGAAAGACTTGATGCAAGAAAAAATCCTGTTGGAGACCCAAGAAACGTTCCGGAAACTTGACCAGCACCTTGGGGAAGAGCAAGATGTCCCGAAGGTTTTGAATAATGCAATTGCAAATGTTATCAATCAAGTGGTGTTTGGATATCGATTTGATGAGTCTAGAGAGGAGGAATTCGGGAAATTAAGAGATTTGATGGAGTTTCAAGAGAAGGCGTTTACAACCTTCAAGGTTCATGTCCAGGTGTTTGCACCGAAAATAGGACAGTGGTTGCCAGGAAAATCTTTGGATGAGCTGTAAGTTTTTTTCCGGAAACTCCCAAATTCTAATTGAAATTTTAAAATTTTCCAGGTTAGATGACTGGAAGAAAGACTTCTATGAGTTTTTCAACCGCCAAATCGAGGAGCACCGTCAAAAAATCGACTTTGACTCTGAAGAATCGCAGGATTACGCTGAAGCCTACCTCAAAGAGCAACGGAAGCAAGAATCTCAAGGAGAATTCGAGCTTTTCTCTAATAAGCAATTGTCAAACACATGTTTTGATCTCTGGTTTGCCGGGTTATCTACAACTAACACCACCACTAACTGGATCATTTGTTACATCATGAACACCCCTGGAGTACAAGAAAAGATGCAAGAGGAACTGGATAGAGTTGTCGGAAGTGACCGCTTGGTGACCACTGCAGATAAAAATGACCTTCCTTATATGAACGCTGTTATCAACGAGTCTCAACGGTGTGCCAATATTATCCCAATCAATTTGTTCCATGCAACTACAAAGGATACTGTAATTAATGGGTACCCAATCAAGAAGGGTACTGGAGTGGTTGCACAGATTAATACAGTGATGTTGGATGAGAAAGTGTTCCCAGAGCCTTATAAATTTCATCCGGAGAGGTTCATAGATGAAAATGGGAAGTTGAAAAAAGTAGAGGAGCTTGTGCCATTTTCGGTTGGGAAGCGACAATGTCTAGGGGAAGGGTTGGCAAGGATGGAGTTGTTCTTGTTTATTTCTAACTTTTTCAATCGGTACAAGGTGAGTTCTGTTGTCCGCGGCTTTTGAAAAACCATCAAATTAATGAAAAAACTTTGAAAATGTATAACAACCCTTCCAGGTCGCCCCATCCTCCAAAGGACCACCATCAATCGACAAGACTGAAAGGGTTGGAGTGTTCCCTAGGAAGTTCAACGCAATTTTGACAAAGAGGCATTTATGAGAAAACTGGCTAATTTGAAGATTTTGATCTCAATTTTGTGAATAAATCTTATGTTTTGACAAGATAATAATGTGTTAGCAAGCCCGTTCAATCGAGGAAAAAAAAAGACCAAAATGTGAAGGCAGACTATTTTGCAGCTGTAAAACCCAAAATTTTTATTGAGGGGGTACGCGAAAATTTTTTTGAGACAACACGATTCCCATAGTTGTTTGGCAACCCTGACAGCTGAGTATACCGGTATATGCCAAGAGGATTTGTCAGGTAACAAACATTTTTTCGCCAAAATTTTGACCACTTTTTGAAAGTAGAGGTGTCACTGCCCTGTATTAGAACTGAATCGAAAATGATTCCTTTCGATTCAGCTGATTGATCCGAATAGGCTCAAACGGGCAAAAAACCCGGATGGCTCGAATCGGACCAAGTTCTTAATACGACACAGTTCTAACCCTAGATATCTTCATAAAATACGCCCGTTCTCAATGTTGCGTTTAGCAAAAATTAGAAAAAAAAGTCACCTTCAAAAAACAGATCATATGTACACATCACTTGTTTTTCCCTCCTTCCTCCCTCTCTTACCCTCTAATTTTTTTTCTTTCCGAAATGTTTTCTAGTTGATCAACTGAACTCTACACTCTCTTCAAATTCTTGTGGTCTCTACCCGCCGCCGTCACCCCCTCGCTTCTCTATTCCTCTTGTTGGTCATAAACTTTGCCTTGGCATAAACTATGGAATTGGAGGGTTGAATAAAAGGGACAGAAAAAATTGGGCCTGGTGTCTTGGTTTTGATTTTTTTTAAAGAAAAATTTCGGATTTGGAGACTAAACTGTGAAGTTTTCTGTTATAAGAGTAGAATTTTTTCCATTTCTAGACTCTGTACCTTCAAAAAATCTTTCCAAAATGATCATCCTCCTACTATTCACCGCTCTAATTGTGTTCCTTGGCTATGAGCTCTACTGGAAACGTAGGAACCTACCACCGGGTCCCATGCCCCTCCCACTCATTGGGAATATGATGGCCCTATACAAAGAGATGCCAGGATATGAGTGTTTTAGACGGTGGACAAGGGAATATGGAGATGTTTATACGTGTTGGTTAGGTAAGCGCTTCCCTCTAATAGAGTTGCATGTCCTATCCCAAGTTTTCTAGGAGCCAAACCATGTGTGATGATCACTTCCTACGACCGTCTCAAAGAAACATTTCTCCGTGACGGGGACACCTACAAGGATAAATTCCCCAACCCTTTCAACGAGAAAATTCGAGGGGGACTTTATGGAATCGTGGAGACAAATGGACACTTTTGGAGCACTCATCGTAGATTTGCTCTCTCTAGTCTACGAGATCTAGGATTTGGAAAGGATTTGATGCAGCAAAAAATTCTGATAGAAGTGGAAGAGATATTCAAAAAGTGTGACAATCAAATTGAAGAGGAGCAAGATGTCCCGAAAGTTTTGAACAATGCGGTGGCAAATGTCATTAACCAAGTGGTGTTTGGATACCGGTTTGATGAATCTAAGGAAGAGGAGTTTAGGAAATTGACAGATTTGATGGAGTATCAAGAGAAGAAGGCGACCACTTTTAAGATTCAGATGGAAGCGTTTGCTCCTAAAATTGGGAGATGGTTGCCTGGAGAATCCTTGGAGAAGATGTAAGTTTAAGTGTGAAAGGAAGGTGGAATTGAAAAAGTATCCGCCTCTGATGGGTTCGAACCTGAGAGTAATTGCGGCACGGGTCCCCAAGAGCACTACCGGTTGAGCCATGCATCTCGTGTGGCGCAACCGGTAACGACATTGGCCCACCAGACTGACTTCAGGTTCAAGCCCACCAGTGGTGCCTATAGAGAAAGTATTTTTGTTTTACACCCATACCGTACTCAAACCTGAACATTTTTTTCCAGGATCGAAAAGTGGAAAGATTGTTTCTACACATTCTTCAATACACAAATTGAAAACCACCGTCAAAAAATCGACTTTGACACGGAAGAAAGCGAAGACTACGCAGAAGCCTACCTCAAAGAGCAGAAGAAACAGGAAGCTCAAGGAGATTTTGAGCTGTTCTCCAATAATCAACTCTCAAATACCTGTTTGGACCTCTGGCTAGCCGGTCTGTCTACAACCAATGTCACACTTACATGGATCATCGCATACATCATGAATATCCAAGGAGTGCAAGAGAAGATGCAAGAGGAATTGGATAAAGTTGTTGGAAGTGACCGCTTGGTGACTACTGCTGATAAGAATGACCTTCCGTATATGAATGCGGTTATCAATGAGTCTCAAAGATGTGCCAATATTCTACCGATCAATTTGTTGCATGCCACTACTAAGGATACTGTAATCAATGGGTATCCAATTAAAAAAGGTACCGCAGTGATCGCTCAGCTTAGTACTGTACTGCTCGATGAGAAGACCTTCCCGGATCCATACACTTTCAATCCGGATAGATTCATAGATGAGAATGGGAAGCTGAAGAAGGTCGAAGAGTTGATTCCATTCTCCATTGGGAAGAGACAGTGTCTAGGGGAAGGATTGGCAAGGATGGAGTTGTTCCTGTTCATTTCTAATCTGTTCAATAGATATAAGGTGAGTTTATTCGGTTTTATGGTTTTTTGCTCTATCAAAACTTCATCTGTCATGAAAATCTGATTGCAGGTCTCCCCGTCATCAGAAGGACCACCATCGATTGATAAGAGTGATAAGATTGGAGTGTTTCCCAGGAAGTTCAAGGCGGTTTTGACTAAGAGGCATTAATAAGAGACGTGTATTTTTGATCTCGAATGTGCAATTTATTCTCTACTCGTATTAATTTATTCTTTGAAACTTCAGAACAATAAACATTGAATAATATGTACAGTTTATATACAACAGCTCAATTCCCGCACATCATCTCCGGATGGGTAAACGCTACACTGAACACATCAAAAGTGATAGCCAACTTTGTTTTCTCGGTCTGCCTTCGCAAATCTTGCCGCATCAAATTGTTCACCTTCATCATTTTGGTGAGCCGCGCGGAGTAATTTGGCATGTTCCGGTTGTGAAGGTAGTAGTCGTGGAGTTGATCGGAGATCACTTCTTGGAGATAGTCAGTGACCGCTGTAACATCACCTTTGAGTTTTTTGCCGGCTTGTTGGAGGCAGATTTGGAGGAGCATGAAGTTCAGTTCGGTGGTTGTGGGGTTGAGGGACTCGAATTCTTTGACGATTAGTCGGAAGATGTCGTTGTGGAAGCAGTCCATGAAGCTGGAATAAAGCATGTTGATGGGGGATAAAAAACAAAAAGTGGGGACCTCTGGTGGGTTTGAACCTGGAGACAGTCTGGCAGGTCACCCAGTGCGTTACCGACTGCGCTATGCTGCGCGCCGGCGCTGTTTCTGGAGAGAACGCGCGTTGGCGCCCGGGTGGCGCAGCCGGTAACGCGTTTGGTTATCAGCCAGATGACCCCAGGTTCGATTCCACCAGAGGTAATTTTCTTTTATTTTTTTTTTCTGAGTTCCATCCACCTAGAAGACACTAGAACATCGCGTGGCGCAATCGATAACGTTTTTGGCTGTGTAAGACTGAGCTTCATGTGACCAGAAAAAAAAAACTCACTACGCCACCTGCTCCCATGTATAATTCGTGAACCATGAAACATCCACTTCTGTATTCTCCGAATCCAGACATGCCTCATCCCCAACCACAAACAAATTCTCGTTTTGAAACAACTTCTTCCTCCGAAACTCTGCCGTCTTGGCAAGCTTTTCAAAACGACCATACGTTTGCCAAATGGATTTTACCACTTCTAGCTGGAAACTCATCATAATTGACGGTCAAAATGATGTGATGAGAACTCACCTGAACTGTGATCGGCAATGAGTTAAATTCACTGAAATTGGTGAGCCACTCAGCGGTATTTAGCATGTCTTGCTCCCAGAAAAGTAAGGTATGATCCTTTCCCATATGACTGATATACTGTAGCTCCGTGGACTTTAAAATCCTCATGTTCTCAAATCCAACTGACAGTTTTTCCAAACTATTCATCTCCGGACTAAATGGCTTCCAACTTCCATTCTTCAATATTTCAGTAGCTCGGTCTATCAAATGGTTACAGTCCACTATGCTTTTGCATGGTCCTGGAGAGGAATCGAGGGTGTTGCAGAAGATCAAAAAGTTCGGACGTCCGATGAATGTGGCAAGGGTTTGAGGGATCATTTTAGGAGTAGTTTGCGAGTTGTTGGGCACGAGAGCAGTTGAGATCATATCACGGTCAAGTTGAAATTCTGGAAATTGGGAGAATTGGGGGTGGAACGCAAATTATCGCAAGATTTGGTGTAACCATGAAAAAAAACAAAAATGATTGCCACCTGTGGGGTTCGAACTCACCTGCTACGTTTGATGCCGCGCGCACTACCGGTTGAGCCACACGCGCTTCAAAAAAGGTGGGCGCGTGGCGCAACTGGTAGTGCGCCTGGTTGTCAGACAGAGAGGGCATGGGTTCGAACCCCACAGAGGCAATTTTCTTTGTTTTTTTCCGTAGTTTCTTTTTCCATGGGTTACCGGATGTCCAGTCTCTCAAAATATCATCTTTTTTTATCAACAGAGAACTGTCAGAGAGTGAAAATCAATTGAGAACGTGCAGATCGGAATGGGTGGAAACTGACTTTTTGTACTTTGCAAAAGTGACTTTCGTTTCGTGATTTTCCTTTTTTTTCCAATTTTTTGCCCCCCGTTTTTCAAGCTTTTCAGTTTTTCACTTTCTCTAATGTAGAGAAAAAAAAAACTACGAAAAACTCACTAGAAGCATCCATTCCTCTCTCCAAACATCGCTTCATCCTGCACTTTTTACATGAGAAAAATCCATTTCGATGAATTTCCAAGTTCTGTCCATGGATGCAGTTCAGATTTAGTTTCTTTTTAGGATTCAGGGTCGCTCTTCTGTAAAGATTTCGTAATCCTTTTTTTCCAATTAGTTTCCCTTTCTTTATGATGCAAATCTAATAATTGACCCACCGGAAAAACGCGGCACACGCCCGGCAACTTAACACACCAAAGTGGTTACCATGTGCAGCTTGTCCACATATTTCACATGTCGAAAGTGTCATTTTTACTTAATAATAATACATGAACGAAATGTATTGAGTTGAGTGTTGATGATGACTAAAAGAATTGAATAGAAGTTGCTAGACCAAGTGGAGAAAGAGAGAGAGAGGGAGAAAAGAACAATTGACATAGAGTGGGAAAGGAAAAAGATCAAGATACGAGAAGAGAAGGGCAAATAGAGAAAGAGATGGAGAAGAGAACAAAAAGTTGGGTAACAATCTAGTTGAGATAGTGGGAGAGACGGGGTATGATGTGAGATGATTGATTTTGATCAACGGAACAGAAATAGAGTTTTCCGAGGAAGTCTGGAGGAAATACTAGGGATTAGGTATGGGTAAAAACAAATCAGATTCTAATTCTAGAAAACTGAATTTGTCAGAAACGATATCTTGGTTTCGGTGGGAGAATAATACAGATAACAGAATGACAAGGTTGGAAAATGATTAGATAGCGCATGAGTGGCCTAGAAAAAAAAAACAAAAAAAAACAGCCTCTGATAGGTTTGAACCCGGGACGGTCGGCTGATGATCAATAGCGCTACCGGCTGCGCCATGCCGCCGAGAAGGTGCGCCGACTAGCAGCGTAGGAGCGCTTCCTCCGCCGTATGGCGCAGTCGGTAGCGCATCCGGCTATCAGTCAGAGCAACTCCCGGGTTCAAACCCATCGGAGGCTATTTTTTTTATTTTTTTTTGTTAATTCCCTATGCGCTATCTAACCCTATGAAAAATCCCGGAACATCTCCGGCTCCGAGTACTCCACATGAAAAATATTAAACGTCCTCGCTATCTCCATTTTCTCCCGTCTCTCCCAAACAATCCTCATAATGGTGTTGTTGACCTTCATCATTTTGGAAATTCGATCCGAATATCTTGAAATTCCGAGATCTTTCACATAATATACATGTAGATCGTCAGCTAGAAGCTCTAGAAAATGCTCTGAGAGTTTAGAATACTCGTTGGGAAGTTTCTTGGCAGCATAGGAAAAGGAGAGTTGAGCAAGCATGTAGTTGAGCTCAATTTCTGATGGGTTTAAGTCCAGGAGGGGTCTCAAAGGTGTAAATATGGATCTGTCACCAACTCCTTCGATGTAACTGAAAATGGGTTTGTGTGTCGGTTCATCCGGAAAAAACTCTATAACTCACTATCCAATTTGCTCCACAGAGTATTTTGATAGCCAGGAAATATCCAATTTCATCTTCCTCACGTCTAATACACAATTATCCGCTAGCAAAACTGGCTCTCCACCCCAAAACTTTTCTTTTCTAGTTTTCAAAAGCATCACTGTCCGGCCTAGCTTCTCCAGGCGATTCCAGATGTGCCAGAAGGATTTTAGGAAAGTTAGCTTAATTTTTTTTTCTTAATCACTTGAAAATGAAGCTTAGACTCACCCGAACTTCTAAGCTAAGCTCCTGGAACTCATCAAAATGTGACAACCACTTGGAAACCAATAATAAGTCATGTTCGAAGAAACTGATGGCTTCTTTGACCCCAATGTCTGTGATGACTTTGTATTCTTCCTCAGGGGTATCAGTGAACCGGTTGAGGTCCAGAGCTAGGGACAGTTTTCTTAGACGGTTTTGGCTCAGGCTGACTTTTTTGGGTTCTTTTTTCGGCTCCGTCAGAATTTTTATAGAGTTTTTGACAAGTTCAGTTAGGTCGATGAAGGTAGAACGTGAGGGAATTGAGACAGCCTCTGGATCACAAAAAAGCACGAATTGGGGTCGACCAAGGAACATTGCAAGAGAAGGGATGACTTTGTGTGTGGTCCGATGGGGGTCACGGTTAAATTGGAAGTCTGAAAAAACGGAAATTCAAAAAAAAACCTATAGGATTGAACCCGGGACCGGTCAACTGATCACCAAACGCGTAACTGGTTGCGCCATGAGGTCGGCGTCATTGCACCGTGGTAGCACAGCCAGTAGCGAATTTGATGACCTGTAACAGGTTCAAGCCCACTAGTGATAGTCAACAAAAAACCAACTTTTCATATCCATCCCGATTTCTTGACACTTCTCCAATCGACATTTTTTGCACCCCAATCTTCCATTCGTCTCAATTTTGCACGTTCCTGATCCTTCTCGACATTTAGATACATACTTCGCTCCACCGGCACACCTCCTGCAATTTTTTCAGGGTAAAAAAAAAAGTTTGAAAAGCGAATTGTCAAACCTGAAAAATGCCGCACACGCTCTACAAACCATTGCACCAAAGTGAAATCCATGGCATGGCTGGCAACAGACTTGACAAGATTTTAAGGTAATTGGGGAGAGTTCCATTGGGTTTATCGGTAGAAAAAAGAAAAAAAAGAAGAACAAGTGAGGTGGAAAAAAAGAGACAAATGACTATAGGTATCACAAAAAAAGATAGAGCGAGAGACGCAGAGAAATCGTGGTCTCTGCCTGCTTAGTCACACTAGAAATCAAAAAATTGAAACAAAAAAAAAACATCAATTGAATTCCGAGTCCTCGAACATTTCCGGATGTGAATACCTCACTTTGATCACATCAAACACTTTGCTCAGCTCCCGTTGTGGTCTACTTTCCCAGATGGATTTCTGAAACTATTCAATCAAATTTTCATGATTCCTCCACTATTCTAGACGTGCCTGCACCAAATTATTCAGCTTCATCAGCTCTGTGAGCCGTCCTATATATCTTGGATTTCTCCTTTCATTCACATAGTAATTATGTAGATCGCTTGATAGGACTTCTTGAAAACCATCAGTAATTTTCAGAATTTCTCCTTGAAACCGTTTTCCAGCATACTCAAAACAAGTCTGAGCAAACATAAAAGTCAGCTCAGTATCCGTTGGATTCAGCTTGACAAATTCCTCCATTATTTCATATTCATAAATGTTCTGGGATTGCATGTACCTGGAAATTTCTGTCTGTATATCCGGATGTCCAGATTTCCTGGGGCAGAACTCACATCGCCACGTACTCCTTAGGATAGTCACTTATCCAAGTGCAATCCATCCTTGCTTTCTTAATATCCCACACTGAATTTCTCAGAATATGCTCATCAGGATTCCGGTTGGTTTTTCGGAATGTGGCGGTCACACAACACTTTTGGAATTTCATCCAGACGTGCCAAATGGAGAATAAAAGACTCATCTGAAATTCCAGTTTTTTTTCTTATTCTCCAAAAAAAAATTTTTAACCTGATCCTTGATATCCAACTTATGAAACTCGTCAAAATAGGTGATCCATTTTATCACGGACAAAAAATAAAATTCGATTGTATCCATGAACTCAATCTTCCCGAATTTGTCGAACACCTTCATATTTTTGGTATTGAGCTTCAAATATTTCGATCCCAAACTCAGTTTTTTGAGCTGACTTCCAGCAAAAATTGGAGATTCGCAGCCGAAATTCAGGATCCTAGATGCCTCAAAAATTAAATTATGCAAGTCGATAAAGCTAGAGAATTCAGAGCTGATCGATTGGCGGTACATAAGGAATTCAGGTTTCCCGGAGAAGTGTTCGATGGATTGAGGTACTTTTTGGTATGGAGCAATAGCGTCACGGTGGTATTGGAAGTCTGGAATTGAAGGGAAAAACATGTCTGGGAACACTTTTAGGACTTACTATCAGTTTTCATTCCAACTTTTATGCATAATTTTAGTCGGCATGGTCTGCAGAAGCATCTGAACCCAAAAATTTCGGAATGGTGAGGAAAGTGGAACCTACGTTTCAAAATTGTCAACGTTTTTCTTACATGGTTTGTTGATTAGGTCGGTAGCAGCGTATCTTCTGAAGAAAAATGTTGAAGGGGTGGGTCCTTTTTTATTGAAAATGCAGAATTTGAGCTTTAGTACATAGACCAGACGGTGGGGCCGCCTGACGGCGGCTCACAGCTTTTTGATCGTTCCTGCGCTCCTCAATACAAATGTTCTGTAATTCTGAATACCCGTCAAAATTTTTTCAATTCTTTGAACTTCCGCCGAAAGTTTTCAATTTTTAACTCCCACCAAGATTTTCAATTTTTGAATTCCCACCAAAATTTTCCAATTTTTGAATTCCCGCCAAAAGGGCGGTATGCTAAACCAGAACTTTCCTGAATCAGAACTGTCCCGAATCAGAACTGTTCGAAATAGAACTGTCCCATATCTCAAAAGTGGGTGGAGCTAGAAAAAGGCTGTCAACTGTAAACATATTCAAAAATTCAAAACAAGACTGAAGAACCGGGAGATGTTTCGGAGACAAGCAAACAAGTCCCCTGGACCGGCTAGTTGCCCCCCTGTCTCCCCTGGGGGTCTGAAGATTTCATACACGGACACAGACTTCATAAGGCAACTGCGATATTTTAGCATCTTCTGGGTGAGCAAAAGCGTGCAAACTAACGAATGCTACCCCGTGTCATCGTCAAAGGTTTCAGGATTATGTCTTTTATTGACTGTGTCGACTTCACAAGACAAATGAGACAAAATATTTTCTAATCTGCATGCGCACGAGATATGATACAGGACAG